GCCCGTTGGAATTCTAAATTTATTAATATAATGCATCTAATCGATTTCTATATTTTATAGAAGTGCGATTGAAATTTTTTTTTTTTAGCCAAATAATAATAATTGATTTTTTTCAGTTCAAATTTTATTTAAAAACTTCTTGGAAATCATAAATTGTGATTAATTGAAAAAGTTGAATTTGATTTCATAAATCTCAAGATCTGCACTTAACAAGCTTATAATGGTTCAAGTAACGACCGTTTACGACTGGTATATCTGAGATCTGCGTTAGAATGGGTGTCGATAAAATATCCTTCGATTCACACCAGCAGCGTTTTGCATTTTTACACACTCTCATTTGAGCTCCGTAATCACGCGGAATAATAAACTGCATCCTCTCCTATTTTTTTCCGCATTCGGAAAAATTATACCACGCACAACCAACCTGGAGCGTTCAATCGTTAGAATTATTATATTGCCGCAGAGAGAGAGCAGCGTATTATTTTTGATTGCACTCGTATCTGCTGCTCCTCCCTGCTAATGTTAATGCGCTCGCTCCAAGGATTTTATTGAGCCGGCGCTCGGCTGCGATTGGCTCTCGACGGACGCACGCAACTCATTTCAGCGTAAAAAAGCAGCACAGACTTCTTCTCTTTCATATTATATATTTTCATACTCGTTGCCTGCACTTCTGAGAAAATCTCGTTTGCGCCAAGGAAAGAGGAGTCTTGCCGGATTAAAAATTAATTGCGAACATGAAGCGACTGTGTGTTCGTATTAAGTGGTTTCGTGTTTGTGCGTCTTTCTTGTATCTGAAATTTTTCTCTCACACTCACAAATACAAAACGCATGAGACAAAACAATTTTGCGGTTGTAAACTTTTGCAGCGACGCCTCTCAAATTAATCAGCGAAATTAAGTGCTCGGACAAAAGACGTGTTCGTGCTCTCGAAAAATCGGCATGAAATTTCGTACATTTTCCACGCTCGCTTCTCTCTTTTCATGTTGGAGCGGCTGGGGTGTGCAGTGTCAATTGGATTTTACGCCCTCCGTCACGTTTTTTTAATGATTGGCATCTGTATTGAGGATCGCGCGATCCACTCTCGGATATTTAGCTGACAAAGCGGAGCTGCAAGTGTATATTATTTTTGTGCTTAAAGAGAAAGAGAGAGAAGCCTCTTCTCGTTCGTCGAGTGCAAAAATCATTCCACTCGGCGGCCCCGGCTGCTGCAGAATTCCTATATGAAAGCAAGAGGCTCGGGGTTTATGCTAACTCTGCAAATGCTATTCTCTTCCTACAAGGCTTTTGATTCGCCGAGCCGCTCAAAATCCGCTCTTGAAAAAAAGGTCAGGCGTCAAGAGAAGAAGCCCAGCAGCAACCCTCCTCCTCTGGAAAAACTTCAAAAAGTTCAGCAAGATTGACGCCTGTCAAAAATTTTAATTTGTTATTTATTTTTTGAAGAGAACAAAAATAATTATTTATATATATTTAGTTGAAAAGTTTCTTATTTGATTCAAATAAATTTTTATGCTATAATTATTTAATTCCAAAATGTTCAAACTATTCTTCTATTCTATACTATTGATTAAATACTTTGTTTTTTTAATTTTTTTGTATTTTTATGCACCAAAATGAATCTATAATTTAAATTATTTATATATTTCACATAATATTTTCCTTGTTTTCATTTTTGGAAATTTTTCTATGCGCATTATTTCCAAGCCGGATTTTCACATAACGTGCAAAATTTATGCGCTGTGTAATTTGACCTCTGGAGCAGGGAGACGTGCGGGCAAATATGGGATGCGAGAGAGACGCGCATCTCTCATCAGCCTGTTATTTACTCTCACCATGAAATCTCTTACTTTTCGTATAATAATAATACCCGGCCGGCCGGCATAATAATAATATTACACCGGCGCGCAGTCAACATCAACAATTTGATTTTATTCAGCTGCGGCCGTGGAAATAATACCAGAGAGGAAAACTTCGCGTGCTCGATACCAATTTTTCGAAAATCGCTGGAAAAGTTATTTATAAAAAAGACACGACAGAGAGAGCAGAGCAATAAATCTCACAGGTTGGTGCAATTTATCGGGAACATATTTTAATATATATCCGCCTGCCAGTGGCTTTGGAGGAAAATTCGCCGCCGCTCTAATAACGGTGGCTTGAGGAAGGACAACAGCAGCCGGCCCGAAACAGCATAGTTCACCACTGGGGTATATAATTTGAGGCAAAAGCGGCAGACAGCCAGCCTGCGCTCGGGCATTATTTCGTAATGTATGCACGTGTATTATAAAAATGCCAAACTGAAAATATTATATAGCACGACGCGGCGCACAACATAAACGATCGTGGAGAAATGATATTGTGTGTGTGTAAATTTTTTATACTGCCCAAAGGTGTGTTCAGTCAAGCAAAACTTTATAAAAGTAGCAAACCGGTCCATTTTCTGCACAGACACACTCTCGGTCAGCATCCTTCCATAGCTCCTCTCTTTCCGCTCGCTGTAGGTCTCTGCGGCCAGAGAAGAGAGACAAGTGACGGCAGACTTTTTGTCCCGTTCCGTGTGCATCACCCTTCAGAAGCGGCATTTTTGCTTTAAGTGACGTCTAAATGTTTTAAAATGCAAATTTTATGTAGCCGAGTTAATTTGATTTTCTATAACTTTATTTTTATTTTATGATATTTGAACAATATTATAAATTATAAATATAATTTTTTAAATATAATTATATAAACACTTGTTCTTTTTCCCTTACAATAAAATTTTTCATTTCTCTGCTTTCTTGCCAATAGAAGATTAATAAATTAAGTTTCAACAGGTTCATAGACCATGATTGTAATATCACTAATTGCAAAGTGAATCCAGATGTTTCTGTAGGTTTCCCTGTCATATTTGAATTAAAAACGATTGTAATCAATTATTCGGGTTTTATCAAGACTGTTTCATGTTTGCCTATAAAGTAATAAAAAAATGCCTTTTTTAATTTTAATTTCGTGGTCTTATATTACATGAGCGTTTCTTGACTCATTACAACATCATGCAAAAGTCAAACAAAATCCCAAGTTTTTTATGCATTCCATCTTTTTCCTATAATGCTGTACGACCCCAACACACTCTTATACGTCAAGTTGTATAAAATGTTTCATTCCGCCTTGATAGGCGCAATAAGTAATTCTAATTGCAAGCGCTCGCGGCAGAATCGCTTGTATTTTAGACTTTTATCATCCGGCGCTGCAGCATCTGTGGCGAGATTCCCGCGCCGTCCGCCACATTATGAACAGACAAGATGTTTATTTTATTGCCCGTGCGCTTTAATAAATACACATTCACACACAGGCAGGCAGGCCAATCTAATCTCGGCGATAAATCTGCATTTGCATAATTTTATTTCCTGCCTGCCGATGATGATATTCAATCCGGCGAGAGCAGCAACAGCAGAGCTCCTTACCAATTCAGATTACGTGTGTATATGTGGCCTTTAACAGCAGAGAGACGATTTTAATCGCGGCCGTCTTAAATTTCACACCTTTCGACGAGAAAAAGCAAATTGCGATTTTCTCGGCGATCGGACTCTCTCGTGGTAATCGAGGGTGGTGCAAACGCAAATGATAGAGGCACGCGCTCTCTTCTTTTATATATATATGTATAGAGGAGTGTAAGCGGGGTCATAGTTTGCGTGACTACGAAGAAAAACTATACTCGGCAGCAGCCCGAGGCCCGCGCGCGCGATGAGGAAAAGAGAAAAACGCATCCAGCGCATGCAGAGCTGCTCCGAATGAATAAAACTCGCGGTTAATAACAAGGCGCCAGCAGCAGGCAAATCGATTCACTGAAAGTGAATTTATTTGTAAAAAGAACGACCGGGACTGTCTTGTCGGAATTTAAATTAACACGTCCTGGCTGTTTCGATCTCACTCTCGCTCTGCTCTCATGTGTGTGTATAAAAGAAGTCATAATGTCATTAAATTGTTTTTACTCGAAAAAGGCATTACCAGTTGTGATGCGGAGAGAGTGATGAAGTAGTTGAGCCATTGTTGCTCGCGCTGTTAAGTAATGCTCGAATTGCGCCGCAAGTATTTGTAATAAAATGCACGGCCGAAAAGGACAAAAAATAGTGCCTGGCTCTGCTTATGGGAGTGTTGAACAATGAGGCGGCTCTCAGGTGTATATAAATGTGTGCGGTGACAAGAATTCACCCTGACAGGATATCAGAGGAGGCAATGTCATCTTTTTCTGCTCTACTGTGCTTTTTTAATGATCACAAGAACCAAGGGTCCGCTCCGTTGTAACCGAAAAAGGTTTTAACAGCATTCCTTTGTGTGTTTTGTTTCTAATCCTGCGCACAAAGAAACGCTCGAATCATCGCTCTAATACGAAAAGTGGCTTCAGTCTTCAGTTTCAAAAAATCACTCCGATGGAGCCCAATCGGTTCTTAGTTGATGCACAGAGCAGTATGGTTTGCTTTCACTATAAGGCCATTATATGGAAATTATTTTTACAACCCGAGACCTTATTCTTCTTCTTCTCTGCTCGGATCATACCGACTTTTATTCTTTTTTATTTCCTCCGCGACGGCCAAGCAGCAATAAATATATAACATTGTGACGTCACTTTTACAACAGCTGTTATTTTTTTATTGTGTCTACACTGATTGCATAATAAATAGGCGCTGCACGGCCGCGGCTCTTCGATATTAAAAGTTTGCATCTGCACTGGAAATGTGTCTTGGTGTACGTGTAGACGATTTTAATGGGGCTCTCGCACACTGGAAAGGTGCTGCTGACTCGCCTCTTCCCGCCGAGGAAAGAGCCGCAGTCGATAATTAAAACGGAGGGGAATTCCTTTCGCAGTAAAACAACCCCTCCTTAGTTAGCCTCTCGTTTAAAATATCATACGTGGGCTTTGGGAAACTAATTAGGCAGTGTAAAAATGTGGATGAATTCAAGCATAAATTTTTATTTTTTATTTATTTTACTTCAAAACTAACGAGTTTCTTTGGTTTTGTCCACAGCAGCGAGAATGTCGAGTAGCCAGGTGTGCCGGCCGCACTTCCACACGCCCCTGCATCCGTGGATGTCGGACACAAGCAAGCCGATGGTGCCGCACCCCTCTCACGGTTCTGCGTGGTGCTCCCCCTTCGGCGCGTCGGCCAAAAACCCAGCGTCAACCCCCCACCCCTCGCCGCCAAACAACAACAACAACAACCAGTCGCAGCCGTCGCTGCCTCCCCCACTCCCGCCTCATTCGGCCGCGTCAGGGGGAGTCCACTCGAGTCCCCACCACCACCTGTTTTCCTTCCCGCCGACGCCGCCCAAGGACGCAACGCCCGACTCGGTGACGCCGCGCAGCTCGGCCGCCGAGGTGGCGGCCGCGGCCGTTGAGTCGTACCAGCAGGCGGTCAACAATGTAGTGGCCGCGGCGGCCATGCAGGCGGCCTCTGCCTCCTCAGCGTCGTCAACAAGCTCGACGTCGTCCTCGACGCCGGCCAACAACATGGAGTGCGTCGACATCAAGCCCTCGGCCATGATCACCAGTCTGGGCAACTGCTCGAGCGGAAAACCGCGCGAAGGTAGCGACGCCCGCTTTTCGGCGGCCACCGCCAACACCACCAACACCGCCCCCAGCTCGTCTAGTTCAACGTCCTCCTCGCCCCCGCATCACCCCCACGCCCACTACCCGCCGTCGTCTCACCACCAGAACATGCACTATCCCTACCACCACGGCGCTAGTCCCTCGGGCGAAATGAGCCCAGGCTCGGGCTACGGGTTCCACCACCCCTCCGCCCACCACCACCATCACCACGCGGCTGCCGCGGCCGCGGCAGTGTTCGGGACCAACAAGTCCCTGCACCCTGCCAAGCCGAGGACAAAGTCCAGGTCCAGCGCCGGTAAGCCTGACAAACTGCGTTTCAAACGCTGACCATTACTAAAAATTGACTAACAGCACCTTTCTGCCCCTGACTTACTAATCGTTTGATTGGTTGGACAGAAAACTCAATTGGTTTCTGACAAAACTGCACTGTTTGGGACTGGTGTGTGCGAATCACAGCTGTTACTAACTTTCCGAGCAATTCGCAGATTCTGATTCATTGAAGGTGACAAATTTTTACAAATATTTACTTCAATTTTTTTGAATTAATAAAACAATCATTTTGAATAGCCCTAAATTTTTTACCTTGAATTATACCAAAATTAGGGCTGTTTGTTTTTTTGTTTTTTAATTACAAAAAGTAAATATTTTAAAAAAAAAATCAATTTAATAAATATTTGCCGATTTAAATCTTCTTCCTCAGTTGATGACAAAATTAATTAATTCTGCAATAAAAATTACGCAAAAATTATTAAGCAATGAATCAGATTCTGCCACTTTTGATATCTATACTATTAATTAATGTTAAAACCATTACTCCTGATCTCCTTTTCTGGACTAATGCACTGCCTTCTCGTCAATCTCCGCGCGTCTGCGGCTTTGTATACCGCGTACGTACATCACATTTTATATCTGTGTGTGTATAAGTGTGTGCGTTTCATTTTCACCGCTGGACGATTAATAACGCGCGCTTAACCTCGCTCAGTCGGTCGCCGCGCGCGGCAGTTTTGATGGAGTGAAAGATAATCAATTTCGATACGATCAAACATAAATAATTTCGTGATTGACATCTGATTAATGACACTGTGCTCGGCCGCACGGTGGAGTTTTTACAACCGCTTTAAAAAAAAAATGAGAGAGACCCAGTAGCCTATTCATGTGGGAATCTTCCTGTCGATGAATGCGCCCGCACTATATGCAAGAGATGCAACGCGATCCTTTGAGAAGGCGCCGGGCGCGGCATATTCGGCCAAGACAAAAGAGCCGTGTGTTCCCAGAGCAAATTGTGCTTACAGGCGCCGCGCTCATATTATATATTTATCCTCGTAAACTCCTTCCGCTTGCTCAAAAGGGTCGACGGCTGCATTTCTTCTTCTTCTTCCTGATGCGCCGTCGTGTCGCCCGTTTTCTTTTTCTGCGAGAGACGAACAAATTATCAAGATGATCTGGCGCGATGCGGCCAATTAATTTTGTAAAACTGCGCGGTGTGTGGCATGTGCCGACCTTACCACATTAAAGAGACCGGGCGCGAATCTAATTACTATTTAGAAATCAACTCACTCCGCGAGTCAATTAATTCGATTCGAACCCCTGTGTGAAAAACCCCTAATCTGAAACGAGTCAGCTGCTCGCAACGACGTATGGATGTTTACGCGGGGGGCGGCGGCGTGTGTTTGATGAAACGTTTTTCAAGCGGGGGTGTGGAAAACCGCAAGGGTGAACTGCTGCCTTTAAATAATCAAAAGCCCTCTCTCGTGCAGACCCAAAGTGGATTGTTTTCGTCTGTTAACAAGTCGAGGTTATAAATTAATAGGATGGTTTGTTTTATTGTTTGTAAATAACTAAAAGAGGGGTTCAAATCACATTTCGGTGCAGCGGGCAGGTTAGAAAAACGCATTAAAAAAAATTACTTAGGTGGCTGGACTGCAAAATTTCCTCCTTTCTTGCTGTTTCTCTGTTTCTCACAGAGAATGCTGGTGGTGAGACACGAATTTCCTAAATACTCAAAATAATGCACTCTTTTACACACTGTAGATTTATCACTACATAAATCACCCTCTATCCGCATGCTGCTTTTCATTCATTCATTTTTCATATTTCCAAAAACATGCTTGCTGGATTTTTTTTTATTTTTCGCCTTTTTCCTAACCCTGAATTAATTTGTTTCGAAAAAGAAGATTTTATTAATGATTTGTGTCTCATTTTTCCCGCAGAGGGGCGAGAATGTGTCAATTGTGGCGCAACCTCGACACCCCTGTGGCGCAGGGACGGCACCGGACACTACCTTTGCAACGCATGTGGCCTCTACTACAAAATGAACGGCCAGAATCGACCACTCATCAAACCCAAACGAAGACTTGTAAGTATCACTAAAGTTTCTTGCCTTTTTAAACGCGGTGCTACTATTACTAAGCCCAACACACATCTCGTTAGTCCGAGGAGAAAAAATAATTCATTGACAGAGATGGGACGGAATCGAGTGGAATTCGAACCACGCCAATTAATTCTCGAAGCCAACCGGAGATATAAAATCCGATCCTTTTCTTAGAACAAGTTAAAAAAGATATTTTCCTAAGTCTATACCTGGCTGCTGTTGCTGGCCATTAACAATGAAAACACACACAGAGAGACAAAATCCTGCACGTGAGAATAAAATGTCAACATTTATTATTCGAGAGAGGGTGGGATGGAAGGAAAAATAATCAAGCCGCTCGGGTTATCATAAATAACAACGTACCTGATGAGGACAAAATGTTGTACAACACAAACTTTGGTGATAAATTTTTTATCTTCCAGCGTTAACTAGGAGGTTGTATACAGAAATTTATTGAGGACCATTAAAACTCTATGTGTTTCTGGCTTAAAAATAATTCTGTCCACACTATTAGACACAGGAATTTCCACCGAATCTGCTGTAAAACACGACCGGGCCATTTATAAATTTAAAAAGAAGTCGGAGGAGATTTTGGCGCTAATTAAATTGCTAGCCAATGATGGATGAATTGCGACTGCATGTTAATTAAGCCAACGGAAAGAACAACATCCTCTCGCTCGAACCAGCACTTTTCCTTCAGGGGGTCGCGTATTTTTTTTCTCAGCACGCGGGTTTATATTTTATTAATGTATAGCAGGGGGTTTGTGTCTTCCTTCAGCACTGCTTGGTGGACACGAACAAACAACAACAAACACCGGCCTATCATTTAATTATATTCATTTTTGTATTAGCCTCGACAAGACAACCAACCGAGCGCTCTCTGTGGGCAGGTGTTTCTTTTTGTCTTTACACCTGTACGAAATTTAAGACCCAGCAGCGCTCGCTCACCTCTCCGAAGAAATAATATTTTTTCCTTTCTCCCATTAAATCATAATTTCATGCTAATGATACACTTTGGTGATTTTTTTTAAAATTACTTTTAAAATCAAACGGAAGTGCCAGTCTTGTGAAATTATTTCAAGGGCAAAACTCGTGACGGCTGTTTGAGAAATATATAAAAAAAAAATCGAAAGGAAAAGAAAGGTGCAGTCTCGGGCGCGGTGTGTCACCTGATATTTTCAAACCCTCCGACTGACTTTTAGTCTTTCGGACAAGTCGAATCAAAACGTTAAAGTGTCGACCCTAGAGAGCGAAATAAATTAACGAGCTGCAAGGAACAGACCGCGTGCATTTTCGTTATATAGGAAAACTTTTATGTACACGTTTGTGAACGAGGGAGGCCGAGGGGCGGAAGATTACTGCGGGTTATTTATTGCCGAAGACTATAACATGCAGCAAAATACAGTAGAGGCAGCCAACCCTCTCCATAATCAACTTTAGAGGGAAAACATGAATCCAACACAAATTTTATTTTAATGAAATACTTCTTAAATATAATTATGTGCTCTAAATTTTAATCATCATATAAAATTTTTTTAAATAAAATTTATTTTGCAAGTAAAATTCAAATTGTACTATTTAAATATTAAATACATTAAAAATATAATAATATATTTTTCTTGTCATCCCGTGGTTAATTTATTGCATATTTTGCCTAATGTCTATTCTTAAATTATTATATTTTGTAAAGAAGCACACATGTCATTTTACAGGTGAATTCAATTTTGAAACTCTGACATCCTCCATAGCCCTTTTTTTGTATATTCAATTTACACAGAAATAATATATTAATACTATGATTAATTATTTGATAAAGATGTTAAAAAAAAAATCATTTATATCAAGTCACTCTATTATTTATTTTCAATTTAAAAAATATTTTACACTCAATGATAAAACTTTTAGCAATAAGGCACACTCGTTTTCCAACACCCCCAAGTGGTTTACGTTTAGGAATGGACGAGTTTTCGATTCTGGGAGGGAGTGGGCTGCCGCGCATCTTGAAGCCGCGCTGCTCCCGTTGCGCTCGTAGCAGTTTGTTGTTGTTTAATATAAATTGGTGTGCCAAATTCATATCATTATGTACGGCGCAGTCGGGGCAATATATTATTCGCAGCAGCGCCCGGAGGCTGTTTGGGCCGCGAAGGGTAGCAGGGGACCATCATAATTCACCCACTCCGCGGTTTGCCAACTTTTGGCGAGAGCGAGAGCCGCACCATCCAGCACTGCTTTTATTATTATTAAGTGCGCGCGCTCTGTGCTCCGGCTGGCTTTTTAGCGAAATGCAAAATTACAGCACCCGTCCCTCCCGCCAGCCACACCACTTGCAGCGGCCAATTCAGATTATGGTCTCGTCGCGCTATTATTATTGTGTGTGCTGCTGCTGCTGGACAATTATTTTGATTTATGCGCTGGAAAATAATGCAATAACCGCCAGTAGCAGTAAATAATAATGTTACACGTCGCTTTGCATCCTGTGGGCTGCTCTCGTGCTGGTCACATGCACAAAAACTCACTCTGATGCCTGCGTCCGAGAAAACCTCTCCCTGCCCCAGACACGTCCGACGCCGTGATTGATCGAGTTGGCCGAGAGGATGAGCAGGTTGAATTTCGGTATTTGGGTTTCGGGGAGAGAGATAAGATCTACAATAATTGCGGATCATATCAAAGGTCAACATACTTAAAAATATATTTTTATTTTAAATCTTTTCAATTGATATTCAAAGCAGATGCTTTGAAATAATTGCCACATAGAAAATTTATATATACCACGCAATGCAATCGTCGCCTTTGCCAATTTTCGCGGCCGCACAAATCCGCTTTGGCTCGCAAATTTCTTGCCTGCTGCGCTGATCCTCTGTGTCCGCGCTCGGAGGCGCAACAAAAAGGGGAGTGGCCGGCACGGGCCTTGGTAGTCATGACAACACCACGGCTGCACTCGTACATACACTCAAACCACCCTCATGACGCTTGCGTGCTGCCAAAGATTTTCCGACACATTTTCCACGACATGGGGTGCATGTTTGCAGCAACCGAGCGAGCCCGCGCCAACTGACAAGGGCACATTCAATTTGGCAAGGCTTTGTGCGAGCGAGGAGAACGAGAGGGAGCAAAAACGTCACCCTCCAAAGAAATGCGAAAAGCCCGAGAAATTGTTTTTCTTTTTTGCAAAAAATAAAATAAATTGAAGTTAAAATTGTCTCGATTGAAAGTAAATTCTGTTTATTGATTTAATGTACACGTAAAAAATTATGCGTAAAAACAAGAAATTTTTTATTATTGTTTATTTTATTCCAACTGAGTGTGTAGGCAACCGGCGTGACACGATTTTTTAATCATAAAAATAACTTTTAAAACTTGCAGGCTTTTGGAAAATGCTGAGCAAAACCTCCAAATACGCGTGTAAACTTTCTCCTAATTCTAATTTATTTGCTTTGTTTGCGACGCTCCAAACAAATAGTTTTATTGTTGCAAAAGGGTCGAAAACGAATTCAATTTGCATAGCGCGGCGGGCGCCACAGATCGATGCGAGCGAAAGTGCGAGTTATTTTGTTACGCGTTTGTGTCGCCTCACGCGAGCGGCAAAAGTATAAATGTAACAGCTCTTTTTGCTAGCAGGCTTGGAATTGCTCTCTTTCTTCGACGGCCCAACAAATTTGCTGCCTGGTGAGCTGCTGCGATCTCGCGCGCCGCGAACTCGCCTTTATTATTATTACTCTGTGCGGAGGAAACAGCGGTTTCGATCAATTTATTGCAAATCCATTTTAGCACACGGCCGCACCCTGAAATAAAATAATGTTTATACCTGGTGGAGAGCAGGAGGCAGCACTCTTGTCTGCCACTTTATATTTATAATCACTTGTTAATTAATGAAGCATCTCGCGGTGATCATTACATTTCGTAACGGTTCACTTATAATTAGTTCGACAAGCCTCCGCTAGTAATTTTTTTTTGAAAAATATTTAATATAAAAATAAATATCTCCGGCAGTAAAAAAAAATCTTATTAATATCTCATTTGGCATTTCTTTAAATCGATTTGCATTTATGCTTCAACGTTTTTTTCTTGTGGATTAAGAAAACATTATTGGCAGGTGACATGAATAAGCTGAGCATTTTTGCTCCGAATGTAAGGACAGCTTATCAATATTTTAGACTTGCTGTGCAAATAACGTGCAGGCTGATTACTTTTCAGTGCTCCAAGGTTGATTTATTTATTTATTGGCAGGTGGAGAAAATAATGTGAGAGAATTAATTCCCCTCAACTACTATGTTTCAATATAATGAATATGGCAATAATAATCATAATAATAACGAACGAACTGGTTTCATATATGAGAGCCAATGTGTTTTACGTTAATTGGACGGCACGCATTTTGCATATTAGAAAGGTTCCGAGGCGGCGGTTTATTATGCCTGCAGAAAATATAAATCCGCTTAATGGATTGCCCATTAATTGGTTGACGACTTGGGGGTACATTGATTGGTTTTCAACTAAAAATTCAACTTTAATTGCACCTCTCATTAATTTAACGACCTCTCCGCACTCTGCCGGACAAATTAGAGTCGTCAACCTTACACGGAATCACAATTAAATTTATATTTTTCTAAAAAAATAATAAAAAAAAAACCTTTTAAATTATTAATACTTCAGGTTAAAAAAAAACTTCATTTTCAAAACAATATTAACCAAGCTTATTATTACGAGGTGAAAATAAAATCATAAGTCGCAATTGGCTTGGAGAGAATTTCCGTGAAAAAGCGCGCGTGCAGCAGCGAACGGGTTATATTCGCGCGCGGTCGGCGTTAAAGGTGAATGTTGTAGGTGGATATTGACCCAATTCGGCCGCTCATAACAGCGCGCCACATGCGGTGTGTTGAAATCCAGCTGACCATACAGCAAGCCGACGTGTATAGGATAATAGAGGCAGCAGCTCAATATGCTAATTAGAGGCTGGAAGAGCTACTTTTCAATCAATGCGAGCA